TCAAGTAGAATAGAATACTCATGAACTTAAACTTCATCACAATGGTGCTATTTTTCAAATTTTGTATCTTCTCTAAAATTTAAAGATTTAGAAGTTTTTGAATCAGCAACTCAAGAATATTTAATTCTTTGACACTAATTGGACCAACTCCTAAAATAAAACCCTAATTTCTAAAAAAAAAATGTATGTTATGCAAATATGAATGCAAACTAATCTAAGAATGGATGCGTAAAAGTTATTCTCTCCCCCAAACTCAAATCAAACATTGTCCTCAATGTAAAATAAAGGTAAGAGAAAAGAAAAACTTCCTAGGTTTTGCATTTGACGACTTAAAATTGAAGTTTTGAAGTTGAGTTGTCTTCATTTAGAGGAGACTTCTAGCATGTGAATTTCCATAGTCTTGTCCCCCAAACTTGTTCAATGGCCTGGCCAAAATCAAAGAACAACAATTTATGCATTAACCTAGGCCATAAAGAGAAAAAAGAAAAAAGAAAAAATCTAAACTATTAAAATAAAAGACAAAGAAATAAAAGAAAAGAAAATTTTATGCTTGGGTTGCCTCCCAAGAAGCACTTAATTTAAAGTCATTAGCTAGACTTTCTACCACTCCAAAGTGGTTTTGGATCAAGTCATAGGGCATGTTCTCTCCTTTTCTTGAATCTTGGTTTTTTTGCCCTTAAGTTGAAGCCACCATAAGATTTTCTCCACGTACTATTTTGTGGTGGTTTGGGTTTAGGCCAAAAGATGTGCCTTCCCAATTTTTCTAAGATTGCCCCCTTTGATTCCAAGTAAGATGAGGATGCGTTCAAGCACTTTATGTATTCTTTGATTGGCTCCTTTGCTTGAATAAGATAAATCTCAAGTGGATCCTCATAAGTGTTTTCCTGCAAAATCTTATCAACCATATCAATAAGAAAATATTCATTAAAATCAGATTTGACTAATGGAGACTCCCTATTGAACACTTCAATTGACACTTGAGCTCTTTCCTCTTCTTCCTTAGAGACATCCTCTTGTTTAGTTTCTGCAGGTATGCTTTTTACTTCTCCAAGTTGTCCTCCAATCTCCAAAGATAAGGTGTTTTCCTCTTCTTCTTGATGTTTCATTGTTGCACTAGGTAAGTCACCTTGTATTTCTCATTAACTAAGTTGAGTAAATTATATCGTTTAAATAAGCAATCATGACTGAAATGATCAAATCCACACCATTCACACGTGATATTTAATTGTTCTACTAAAGCCCTCTTTAATTTGATCTTTTCAATGACTGCTTGAAATCTTTCAAGTTCATCATCATCAAGTTCTGCTTCCCAATTGATAGTTATTGCTTCAACTTGTGCCCTTGTCTCTGGAGCAAGCCAATGATAACTCACATAAGTACCTATGGCAACTCAATCCATAGTTAGATATGCAAAAACAAAAACAAAGAAACCAGAAAAAAGTCAAAGTAAAGAAATAGAAAAAAAGAAGTTCAAATTAAATCTAGAATTAATCAACTTCGATGTTAATTAAATTCAACAATCCCCGGCAACGACGTCAAAAACTTGATGCATTAAAATCACCCTATCAAGTGTACTAGTCACTCCAAGTAATATAATGATAAGAAGAGTGTCGAACCCACAAGGATTGTGTCTAATTAAGTACTAAAATAATTAATCTAAATTTATTTGAACAATTAAGAAGAGGAATAAACGTTAATAAAGAATAAAAAGAAAATAACAATTAAAATAAAGTTAATCAAGATATGAGGTACTAAGGCATTGATTTCACCATAATCAATTAATATAAATTTTGAATTATCAAATTGTTGAGTGTTATTGCATGTGATGGCAGATTTCTCTAAATGAACTAACCAACTTTCTCAAGTCAAGTTAATCCTTCACTGATTTGTTAAATTAATCATATCTTTATGTAATTTTAAACAAACTAATGAACATTAAATTCTATGGAAACCTCTAGTTTAAGAAAGGGAAGCTCCTAACTCTCTTCTCTTCTCTTCCTCCACTACCAAATGTGAGCTAATTACCTCTCGATCTCATAGTCTAGCACACAGTTTATATTATTATTGATCTAATTTACGTACTTCTTTCTTAAATTCATGCATAAATCACTAAATCAATCGAAAGGTGATCAGATTTTCAATGCATTAAATTTAATAATATAAACTCCTTATGCAAATAACTTTAATTAATTGAAAGCATAAAATCACAAAATCTATATTGAATTGATTAGGTTATATCGTAACCCTAGTAATATAAATTAGTTCATAATAAAAATAATAAAATCTGAAATCACAGTTATGAACATTCAAATATCAAACAATAGATAAAAAGAATTTAAGGAAAAACAAAACCCAATTTGAGAAAATTGAATTCCTTGATTTCTTATTATTGATGGATCCTCGATCTTGATCTCCAAGAGTACCCAAAAGAGGGCTGCCACCAGCCTCCATTAGCTCCCTTAATTCTGAATTTGGATGGGTATTTATAAAGTTTTAGAAACCTTAATTAGAATAAAAGTAGGATTTGAAACAAAATAAGAAACTTAAATGTTGAGTGTTGAACGTATGGTGCTGATACTCTAAATTACGTGTCGACACAAAACAGGAAATAGAAAGTTTGATTCTGGACGATTCATGCATAGTGTCGACACCCCGATTATGTGTCAACAATACACTCGTGTCGAGTTTCTGGCCTCCTTTTGCAATTTCTTCAATGGTAAAATGACAGATCTGTCCTCCAGCTTTTGTATAATGAGCACTTAGATCTCAAAACTCAAGATTCATTCATTAAGGTCCCAAATAATTGCCCTTCTTCTTGCAATTCAGTCCCTCAACTTTCAAAGGATATTCAATTAATCCTAAAACTCTTTTTTTATGCATTCAAGTCCTTTTCTGCTCAAAAAATGAAAACCGTGTTAAACTCAATAAAATCTCATAAAACTCATCCAAATATCAATAACATCAAGGCAACAATTCCACATTAATATGTATAAAAATTTAACTTATCAATATGTTATTATTCTTTTATCTCCTTTATCTTTCTTTCTATATTTTTTTATCATCAAAATCTTTCCTTCTATATTTTTTTTTAGTACTCTTTATATTCTATTTATCATTGTATATCTTTTTTCACCCTAATTACCTTCTATCTCTCATTGTCTATATTAGAAACGTTTTAGCTTAAAACACAAGTGACGTAGCTTGTGACATATTATAATTATAAATTTATAATTATAAATTTATAATCTTACATGGCATAATAACTATGGTATTGCCTATTTAGCCATTTTTTAATTCATGCTTTTGAAATTTTCTTCCTTTTATAAGTAGCCAAGGTCCCATTTACATTTATTTGGAGGTCAAAATATCAGTAAAATATTAAGAGGAAAAGTTCCACATATTTCCAAATAGAGTCTGTTGTTCTACATTTTAAATTATACTAAACTATAAAAATAAAACTTTTTAAATAAGAGAAAAGCCCAATATTAAAAAACTCACCTCTCATCGATCTAAAAGGTTTTATATCTAATCCAAACTATATAATAATTTTTCATT